ACGGGGCCGGCGAACTCGTCTGCGCGCGCCACAGCACGACCTGGCCCCCTTGACCCGCACGTCACAATTTATGCAACCAGGGAATTAGAAGGGGTTGTTGTCTTCGTCTGACTCCCAGTCCACTCATCGGTGTCTGCACGCACAGCACACATTGGGTTGATGGTGTGTTCGGTAAATGCATCAGCTGACGGCCTTCTCGGTTACGGTGAATAATGACAGCATGTCGGGAATGAGGCGCTTCGACAGCGTTGATCGCGTCCTCTTCTCCCGCACTCATTTTGCTGCTGCAACAAGAACGATTTAAGAGCGCTGAAAATGAGCGTGGGTGTCCAAAGCGCCAATTTTCCGATTTTTTGGAAACAACCAAGCCAGCCGACTTCGCCAAGCTTCGCTGCCCTTGTGCGCATACTGTACTGTACTGGGGACACGAGTAGCCGAACACGCAGCAGCAGTAAGGGGAGGAAGTACGCTAGCTCTGAGGTTGCAGCACAATGACCTGCCTTTTCCATATACTGTGCTGAGACTGCCTGAGCACGGAAACCGGTCATGCAGGACGGTCACGGGCTACCAACACTTCCATTGACGGTGATCCGCGTAATTAACATGCCGACATTCAACACTGATGATAAAATCGCGACATTTAACGATTCGGGGGCGCAGTGCAAAACAATAATCGCACGAATTACGACCCTTATCAGTGATCGCGACAAATCTTAGTACGCATCTGGTCGCGTGCTCACTGCGGACTATAAATGCTGGGTACCTGCCCCCTATCCGCGACTTTTTCCGATCATAACTTTCAGCGAGATTCCGAAACGTCCGCCCTTTAAAATTCTTGTTACGGTGATCGCATCGTCTGAGCTAATGCCTGAAACTCGCCTATTGGCTTTTATCAACATAGTATATTTTTATCTTTACGCATTAGTTGATGCTCTTAAACTCAGCTCTTCTGACAGCCTATTCATTTTATGAGCATTCTCTTCGTCTGCGTCTCTTATTTGACTGAGCGAAATCCTGTCCTCGGGATCCCCGTTTTTACTGCAGCAACAGTGCTACAGTCGTGGTTAACCGTTGTACGTGGAGGTCTAATTTTTTTCATCTTTTGCACAAAAGCGTAGAAACCGCATTATACTAGATATAATCTTAATGGACGGACCGGAGGTCGTCTTCTATACCTTGAGATATCCTTCATTGCTAACGACTGTTTTTTTCTCCCTTTTCCCTGTTCTAGGCCTCACGCGAAGATACCTGGATGGCTGAAGTACTTCGTCGCATTGAGCGAATGGAAAAGAAACAGAAAAAACGACCTAGTGTAGTCTCCCAGGATGGTACGAAATCCGCCTCTAAAACACCTCAAGAACCCATGGACACGTCAAATCTGGTGAGCCCGATTTCTCCCTCTCCGGCACCCGATGACAGTACCGGACTGTCTGCGGATCGAGAAACCTCAACCAAATCACGAATGTGGTCGACTTCTTCTGCCGAAGACGTTTTCGTAGGTCCTGACTACACTGCTTCACGCCTCTCCCCACCACCTGGTTTGAACTTGTTGGCGGCGACGGCGACGACCAGCGAACTAAACAAGTTGGGTCGGCCTGCCCAAGGAAGCTTGAAATCTGAGCCACCAAAAGAGGAGGGCCCGGAGTCCCCCTCAGACCAACCCAAAAATCGGCGTAAGAAGTCGCAGGCTTCTGCCACTGCTGCAGCCGATAGTTCAGGGCAATCTGCTGGTCTATCCCGCGAGGATCGTTGGCTTCAACTGCAATTGCAGAGAATTGCCGAAATGGAAAAGAAGCCAGCTAAAACAACCCAGAAAAATTCCTACACCGACGGCACTTCTACGAATGCCACCAAACCGGAGGCGTCTGGACCCATAAATTTCTCAGTCTCCACGATGACTGCTCATGCGTCTGAATCTGGTGGGTCTATTGGCATTCAACAGCAGCGATCTGCTAAACGAACCGCTCGACAAACCCCGGCTAAAAGTAAACGTCGCAGGCGAGCAAGCAACCCACGTGCCTCTGCGACCTCGGATGAAAGCGGCTTCGACGCGGTTGATGGAGCTGCTGACCAGGCGTGGAGGTCACCCGTATCCACTGAGTCAGCCCTATACTCTTCCCCCAGGGCAGACCCCACCTCTGCTTCCTCGCCCAAAGACGGCGAAGCGGAGTGCGGCTTGATTGTATACAGGCGGCGTGATGTCGACCCGATGGCCAAATTCAGTCGGTCGCGCTCCGTCTCCTACACAAATCCACCTGTCCTCTCCGTTGATGTCTCCCAACTGATGACTCACCCACTT